AGGGGGGTGATTTGGAAATGGGGAGGGGAAGGGAATGGGTAGAAGGGGGTATATGTGGGGGGGGGGGTTAGAACAACCCTGAAAACGTTGGTAGTAAAGTGAATTAACTTACGACGAAATATGAGGCGGAAATAATCTAAAACGTCTAAAATACATTGCTCTCCTTAAATAGATTTTCGTACATTTTGTATGAAATTCGTTGGGCGATAGCATTACGTAATTGAATCGTGATTTTAATGAAACGAATTGAAGAAATTGATACCAAAGTGAACCAAGTGGTTCTGAGAACAGCCAAATATCGGATCAGATATGTATCATCTCAAATAAGGACTAAAGGGGTGATGGCATGCTAGCTGTTGCACATCTCGCCAGTCTGAAGCATTGGTGGAATGATCACAGGAAGGGCAGAATCTAATTACTCGAATAAATGTGCACCAGAGCCAGTTTGTCCACCATAAATACCACCTTGGTTGCCTGGCGGCTGTGATCACTTGAGCTATGGCACTACCACCACCACCATAAAACGTTAAGCAGTTGGACTGTTTATTGACCCCTTTTGCTCTCACTTCTCTAAATAGTCTCTTCATAGGTCCTCATCAATTTCTTGTTCCAGTTGATCTATGCTTCATTGTTTTGTAGACTCTGCCTTTCTGAATTATTTTACAACGAAACCCCCGTTTATTTCTATAGTCAACACTATTGGTCAGTACATACTCTGTCTTTGGATAGGCCGGAATATACCGGTCCCTTTCACAGTCTTTCTTAGTGTATTTTGCGGTCCGTAATTATGAACTCCTCAGTAACAGTTATTGCCTTTGGCCTCTATCGTTCAACTTTTACTATAATAAATGGAATGTGAACAGTTAACATGTAACGGAGTCGTATATTTTTCGTAATTTGTTGTGATTTAAACTCCTGTCTGATTTCAAATCGTTAGTTATGCCACTTTACTGTTAAGTGACATTTTCGAAGTTACACGCGGTGGATGAAGCCGTCCAACTATTCTGTTCCCTTGAGTTCACTTTGGAAATGTCTGGGAATGTAGAACGTTTGGTGCGACGTACAAAGATAATTGCTTAGTAATTACTGTCGAGGGTTGAGACCTCACACCTCTCGATCTTTCATGTCAAAGCCTCCTCTAATCTTGTGATGTCTGGGAGGTTTCAGATAATCAAAAGTCCGATGTGTGTTTAAGTACACCGATATATTGTCCGGCTTCCCGCAGCTGACGTTAGCGGGAAACTTGAGTAATATGAAATTCAGTAACCGAAGTACGCGTATAGAGAATTTCTACTTTTCTGGGAGTCTCGACATCTTGATTGTAAAATATATTATGAATGAAGGGGAACAATAACAAATTTTGCGTTTTCGTAGTTTATTGTAGGAGTGAAAAGTTAGTAATTTCAGAAATGAAACCTTCGTTGTATCCAGTTTAGCAGTAAGAATACATTTTCTTGTTTCTTAGTACTGCTTTCAGACGTCCTTTGATACAGACCTGGTATATATACAAGTAAGCGCTGTACTTGTGTTCGGGTTGTATCCGGTTCAGCCTTAGGCTGTTTACTATCCTGAGGTTTCTTGTAGTTTTTTTCTGGCTCTAGAGATATTTTCAAATAGGTCACGACCGCCTCTTTCCAGATATTCAGCTGCTAACTATTCGTATAATAATCATCTTTAATTCTCACTTGTAGCTTATTTTTAATTTGTTTAACAACGCTGTCAACATCTCTTAAACTGTATAGCGCCGAATGATTGTATGATACTGAATAATGAATTGGACATAATGTGGAAGGAATCAGTCTTTTACTTTTTGAAGTAATACATCTGCATCCACCTGAAGGACCTGAGGGAAGCTACCAAAATCCGTAGTCAGTATAGTCTGTGTTCTGGCTGAGATTCGAACCGGCGCCTCCCTTCCCGCCTCGTTCAAGTTGGCTTTCCGATTCCGTATACCCCATGTAGCTGAAGTAGAATCGTTGAATAACAGGAAACGATCACAATCAGTGTACAATAGACCACTGGGAAGACCAAGGCGTAGGTGGGTAGACAATATTAAAATGGATCTTAGAGAGATAGGATGGTTAGGTATGGATTGGATCGATCTGACCCAGGATAGGGACCAGTAGACGGCTCTTGTGAATACGACAATGAACCTTTGGGTTTCATAAAATTCTGAGAAATTCTTGAGTAGCTGCAGAATTGGTGGCTTCTCAAGAAGGGCTCAACTCCATGAATAAGTATGTTAACGATTCATTCATACTCTTTTATTTATGAAGTGGGATTTATGGTGAACAAAGTGGCAAAGGGGCAGACTTCCCCCCCCCCAGTACTTCGGTTTCCCCTGCCAATCTTCGTTCCACCAATTGCTCCACAATCACCCTCACCTATCATCTGGGGCTGGTACGAGTACAATAGGCTAGAAGTGGCCGCAGTACAAGGGACTTAGCCCCACCCCACTAGCAATAAAAAAATGTCAGTACATACCGTGGGTTCTTAAGATATAGCCACCAGCTATTTTCAGTATCAATAGAAATCATAAGTTATCAAATTTAAGTTATTTTCAGGTTTTGTTACGAACTTGGATTTGTAGCCAGGGTGGCGACCGTGTGAACTTCTGAGGCGATAATAACGTTAGCGCAATTTATGAATGTGTGGGATTGTCGATGTTCTGAAAGACAACCACGTAAAACTGTAACAATTGTATATATTAAATTATATAAATTGAATGTACAGAATAGCTACGAAGCTATGTGGAATGTCGATGTTAAAAAGTTGGCTGGCCCTGAAAAGGGCGGTTTGTTCCACCGTGAGTGCGCTGGCAGAATTTGCTCCTTTGTAGTAGACCATGTTAGACCGGCGAAAGCGCGTGTTAGTATGTGGGATGTTCCCACAAATATAATGTCCAGAATTTTTGTGTCGTAATATACCACGAAATGCTATGCCCCCCCCCCCCCGCGCACGCACTCACGCACGCACATACACACACAGCGATGTCAAAGAGCAACATTTCTGTAGTCTTGGGAAGGTTGCAACATTTGATCTATTTTTGCAGCAAAAGCAGTGACCTGGAAGATGACACTGGAGACGATGCCAAGTCCGTGCGTACCACCGAGGACAATAAGAAGTATGTTTGTGTCATTATTCCCTTAATCCTAGACAATAAGAAATCAATGTTTATCATTATGCCCTTAAGCAAGGACAATAAGAAAAGATCTTTATTTTTTTCCTTAATCAAATACTGCAAAAAATACGTGTATGAGATCAACGTTATTCTGTTAATGAAGGAAGAAAGAAAGAAACAATTTGTTCCTTAATCAAAGATAATAAGAGTTATTTGTCATATTTCCTTACGCAAACAGGTTAGCACTTTATATTCATATCATTGTGTTTTCATGGAGGTTATAGCATATATATTATGAACAGTTGAAGTTAATTCATTAATTGCTCTAAAGATGCAACTGCACAATGAAACAAAGTGTGGTAGAATTCTGCATTCTATAAGCAGTTTACTTTACAGCAAACTACCCAACAAACTGAAACTGTAGAATGTAAGCAGTACATTTGAACAGCAATTTTATGACTTTTAGCTGATAAGATTTTGTACAGTTGATGAATATCTGAACATGTGATGCAGCTCTTTTATTTATACTAATGCTTTTGTATAATGTTGGATTTGAAGTTCTGACAATGGTGGTAACAATGAGTATGATCACTGGGTTGTAACACAGTGTAGTTTGGTACAAGTGCACTGATATTTTGGAGGAATTTATCGCCTTTATCTTCAGGATCAAAGAGTAAGCCAAGCAAGATATGGCAAGACGCAGGCAGCAAGCAGAGAAAACCAAGTGTGATATAGGCCAGAAAAGCACTATAAGAGGGTCAGTGGTAGCGTTACTATTGTCTCAAAGGGGACTGAGGGAGAACCAGTAAGAGCAAAGGAAAAAGGAAGAAAGAAATAACTGTGTTTGCCCCCTGAAAAAGGCCATAAGATTATCATGTGAATTGGTAAAATTTGGGAGAGAAGTCACATGTATGTCCAGGCAAGAGGCCTAGTGGGTGTAGCATGAGCGACAGTGTTATAGCCCAGAAGATCTTTTCTTCTTTTATTGTTATATGTTTTCTAGTTACAATTATTTTAAAACAGATCTGTGTACATTTACATAAATATTCTTCAAAGCTTCAAGAGCCCTTTTCAGGTTAATTGTGTACATAGCTACTTGTCTGATTTGAATTTTTTTATGATTCCTGTATTCTTTATGCCTTAGGATGTTTTCCAGTTGATCTAACCCTTCCAGCTACACTATGGCTCTGGGGTCAACTCAGCCTCTAACAGAAATGAGTACCAGGAATTAATTAAATAATTTTCCTGGGGAGTAAAGCACGGCCGGCGCATAATGCTGGCAACCTTACCGCCATCCTTGAGCTGATTGTCTAGATAATGGGGGACCCTCAACATCTCATAACCCTTTGGGCCCTCACGGTCTGGTACAGAGATAGCTTTACTTTTTTTACTTTTATTATTTGTTTATAATACAAGACTGTAAATGGACTTTGGAAGAAAGTGATTGAATGACCCAATTAATTAATTAATGTTTAGCCATTCTTAACTTAATTTATCGTTATAGTCTGATCTGATACTCTCTGTAAGATATCATACAGTATTGTTAATTACATTAACTTTGGCAGTTTCAAGAATTTCCAAGCTTTTTGCTGTCATTCATTACAGGCAGAACCACAGTGAAATAGAGAAGCGACGCCGTGACAAGATGAACACATACATCACAGAACTCTCAGCCATGGTCCCAATGTGCCATGCCATGTCACGCAAACTGGACAAGCTCACAGTTCTCCGAATGGCAGTGCAGCACCTCAAGACTATCCGAGGAGCCGTCCATTCTTACACAGAGGGTCATTACAAGCCAGCTTTCCTCTCTGATCAAGAACTGAAAACTCTCATACTTCAGGTATATCTGGGGGATAGGAAAATATTATGAAGAATTTAGATATGGGGGTAGTGTAGTCGGTGTAGTGACTGGCTATGGAGTGGACGACTGAGGGGTTGGAGTTCGAGTCCCAGTAGGGTCAAGAATTTTATCTTCTCCAAATCATCCAGACTGGCTCTGGGGCCCACCCAACCTCTTATCCAATGGGTACCAGGGGCTCTTTCCCCCGGGGGGAAAGCAGCAGGGCCGTGAAGCTGACCATTCACCTCCAGCTAGTACCGAGGTCAAGAAAATGTGATCTATACATCCACTCCCTCATACGCCTTCATGGCGTAGTGCTTCATTCAATTAGCACAGGGACAACTTTACCTTATCTTACCTGTGGCTTGTCTTTAGTTTTCAATTTAGGTTTCACTTATGTCCCAGGTTGTGCTCTGATAAACACAGAATAATGATACTCCTTTCTTTCTACTATAAAAATTACAGTTATAGTCAAATATTTTTGTTAGCAGTTTGTAATCCATTATTTCTTCGAACCATGATGCCTTCCACCTGTCTTTATCATGGTTAATAGGTAAGCCCTAAGACCACAGCAGGGTTATGAATGCAAACAGCTGCTTGAGTTAACATATTATGCAAAACCTGTTACTGTTGCATAATATGTTAATTCAAGCATTTGTCACGTGATTTAGTTGCCATGGAAACGTATTTACAGAGCCATCGCTCAGCAATGGACATTTTCTCTGGCTCAACAAATCTGGCTTTGAGCATACATGTCACAATGTAATTTTCACTACACATTGACTAAGGTAGATCAGAGTCTTATGAAGCAGTAGATATTTTAGTTATTTGAAAGTAAAGTTTCTTCTGTGTCTAAGAACCACTCCATATACGAGGCATGAAGGTAAGCTACACACATTACAGATCTTGGCACTAGATGGAGATCTGTGATCAACTTCACAATCTGGCTGGTTTATCTCAGGAGAATGAGCCTCTGTTGCCCATTAGATAGGAGGCTGGGTGGGCCCAGGTTTTGAGAATATTTATCAGGAAAGCTCTCAAAATATAGCAGCTTCCATCAATGAGAATGATATGAGAGAATAATAACAATAAGACGTATCTTAGATAAATTAAGAGTGTGAGCATACAAGGTAAATAAAACTGGCCCAGAATCATATACAGGAAGTGTTTCACATTAACAGTACTGAACCTTTGGGTCTTTTTTATTGCTAGTGGGGTGGGACGAAGTCCCTTGTACTGCGGCCACTTCTGGCCTATTGTACCAGCCCCAGATGATAGGTGAGGGTGATTGTGGAGCAATTGTTGGAATGAAGATTGGCATGGGAAACCGAAGTACTCTGAGAAAACCTGCCCCAGTGCCACTTTGTCCACCACAAATCCCACTTGACCAGACCCGGGATCGAACCCGGGCCACCGCGGTGGGAAACCAGTGACTAACTGCTTGAGCTATGTCGTGGCCTACCTTTGGGGTTTACTGCCAAACAGTAACTTGGTTGGTTTTTTCATTGACTTTTTCTGAGCATCTTCCATGACCCACTGACTCTGACTTCCAAATGTACTTAATTTTTCATAGGTTTATTATCTCAAACATTAATATTTTTTCTTCTGTTGAGAGAGTGTGTAAATTAGCAAAGGCATTTGACAATCAAGTTATAAGAGATCAGCATTAGGCTCTGGTCAAGAGCTCAAATTTCCAAAAGTCTGAGGAAGACATACATTTTGTGTCAGACTAATTAAAAAAATTATGGGTCACTTGCTTGATATAAATTTCTGAAAGTAAAGTTACTTCAATTTTTAAATAAATAAATTTGAATGAGTTAGTGTTGGAAGTCTGTATCTAGTCCGTAGAATGTACTCTGGTTCTTGTCTGTAATTAAGCAGAATATTTTTCATTGTCAGGCTGCTGAAGGATTCCTGTTTGTTGTGGGTTGTGACCGGGGACGCATTCTCTATGTGTCAGAATCAGTGTCTCAAATTCTGAACTATTCACAGGTAATTAAAGCCATGTGATTTTTTAATAACATATTTTAATTTTTTTGCATTACATAACTTTCGCAGTCAGGTTTCAGAATAAGTAGCTTGCCCATTTGCCTTCAGTAGATTCTTACACAGTCCTGAAATGTGGTTGTTGTTAAAGATTCTAGCCTCACATTGAGATATCTTTCAGGAGAAAGTTCGTGCAAATAAATAGAAATCAGAGTTTAAAATTTAATCAAAATATGTACTACCATGATTATCTTTCCAGTAGGTGCCATAGGAAAGGCACACTCTTAATCTTACCAGCAGCTGCAATCTGAGACACACTACAGTCAGATGCAGAAATCTTATTTAGGTTAATAGAACTGGACTTTTTTTTTTAAATCAGTAATAAATTTCAAATTGGAGGCATACAATAGAACAGATACACTGAGTACTGAGATATAAATTTATGAATTCATTCCTGATCTGCCAGACAGTTTCTCAGTAAGCCATTTTCAAACATATAACTCCTAGTTTCTCCTCTCCTTTTATGGTGACTAGTTCCATATGTTTTCATCATACAGGTTAGCAGTTACCAGACATTTTCACACACATAGCAGCAGAAGTCTGATAAACCATTCATTTAATGCAGTTGAATATGGAGTAATTTTGCTTTTTGTATGTAATTTGTTTCACATTCACTGAACTTAATTCCCATTTTCCTTGATCTGTTAGGAAGTATGGACTTGTATGTAGTGTCTTCACATCTGTATGTCTCCACCAAAATAGGTTTATTTTTGTGGGCTTGCAGTACTGTCAGTATCTAGAATATGTAATGTCAAATGGTGGATGACTGATGAATGATGAATAGGATAGGATATGGAAGGAACCAATCATGGCCTAATTGAGGTACTGTCATGACATTTGTGTGGGTGGAATGAGTAATACTGTAAAAAGATCAGTCACCATATCTTGTACCCTAGCTGAGGTTCGAACCGAATATGACTGAATATGAGTAAAGCATTAGTGCTATGTCAGCTCACTTGGTCCTGTAGGTCTACTGTTTAACTTCCTGTCTCCAGTAATACCAGTAGGGCTAACTTCCTGTCTCCAGTAATACCAGTAGGGCTGTCGCTTGAAAGTCCAGGATGGAAGAGACATAATCACTGCTGAATGTAAGGTCCTGAAATGTTGAGTTTTAATACATCTTTGAAAAAGGGGTAACTTCTGCTAAGGTAGTTTTTTGAAGACTGTAAAACAACATAGCAGTGACAAAAATCTATATTTTAGCTTTTGACAAAAACTAATGAACAGATGGAGGTAGCCATATAAAAGTTGGTACTAGTATGAGTAGTAACTGTGAACATGTCTACATATTCTGTATGAAATATTGATTAACTGTCAATAATTAAAAATATGGTGCAACTTAAATCTTTGAGGTTATATGTGACAGATTTAATGTAGCCACAATCTTAAATTACACGTATGTACAGAAGTGAATGACCGAATAATGTAATTAATAACATATTTCACAGTAAAAGTAGAAGGTGACTAAAGTCTAAGATGTTAAAAGTCACTATGATGCACCATCATCAAAACACTCAGAAGTGAATTATCTGTGACAAAGTTCATGTGCATTACAGGGTGATTTGCTAGGCCAATCGTGGTTTGATATTTTACACCCGAAGGATGTGGCCAAGGTGAAAGAACAGTTATCATCATCTGACCTCAGTCCACGTGAGCGACTCATTGATGCAAAAAGTAAGTCAAGGGCCAGTACTCCTTGATGGTTCCTTACTTATGAGTATCTCCTCTTGTCTTAAGCACTTACTGCATCATTTTTCTTCTCATTTTGTCTTCAGCTATTGATAGATGGGGCAGGATAGCTCAGTCAGTAAAATTACTGGATTCGGTCTTGGTGACTGGAACTTGATTCCTTGAAGAACCAAGATTTTTTCTTTGCCACCTCATCCAGACCAGTACTAAGATCCATTTGTCCTCCTGCCCAGTGGGTATTGAGGGCTCTTTCACCTTCGGGTTAAGCAGCTAGAACATAAAGCTAAATATTCATCTTCATCTAGTGCCAAAGTCTGGAACATGGAGCTTTATCTTGGCAAGATGTGAGAGAGGTGTCTTTACAATTTTCCTGATGATTAAAAAATACTGAATCAGTATCATATTTACTATAAAATTGCCTACATAATGTGATTTTTCATCTTTAATTTCTCCAACTTTGTATTTTGATTGCCCTTGTCTCTAATAGAAATTTCTTTTTAGAATCATTTCCATTCCCTTTGTGTGGTAGGAATTGCTTCCAGTACATGATATATATGATTTTCAGTAGGATACCACAACGAAAAAGATAGAACATGAGCATCTGATTAATTATAATAAAGTATGTATAATATAAGGTTGCCCAAGTCACTCAGCATCATAGAGCAATGGAGTATTGGGAACATAGAGGTGAGTCACCATGTATTCTAGGCTTAGGTACTAAAAACGGTCATCTGGTCACTGTGCTACGAGGGAAGAGTACCTTGTTTTATATGATAGGAGATTAGGGTTTGTCAGCATATGGTGGTGAAGAGAAAGATCCTCTCTCTACTAAAAATTTAATTCTCATTATTTGGAATTTTCTAAATAATTTTAATGGTTGCACCAGCAGGAGACTATACATTTTCCTATGGAAAGGGGAATGAAAATCATGAATTGGATACAGGTTTTTTCGTACATAAGAGAATCGTATCAGCAGTTAAGAGGGTAGAATTCGTTAGTGATATTTTTTTTTTATTTTGAATTGTTTCATTTTTTGGTCCGTTACACTATCAGTCACAAAGTTAATAGAAAGTCCGTCGAGTGTAACAATTTTAAATATATAATAATATATAAAACCTAATGTAATACAATATCTTTGCAGCTATACAACCTCAAGCTGACATCTCCCATCTTCGGGATGAATTAACAAGGAGGAGCTTAGCATTTTACATCAAATGTTTTAAATATTTTAAATATTTTAACATTAACGTTTTAACTTAAAAACAGTTTCGGATGGAAAGTGAGAATTGATAGTGTACTCAACTATCATAGCAAGTGTTGTGCTTTTACACGTCAACATATTTTAGCAGCATCCACACAACAACAAAAAAAAGTGACCTAAAAATTGTTACACTCAACGGACTTTCTATTAACTTCGTTAGTGATAGGTTATCATATATAATACTAAAAGGTCGCTGGTGTGAGATCATTGTTATGAATGTTCACGCCCCAACAGATGATAAAATTGATGACATAAAGGATAGATTCTATGAAGAAGTAGAACATGTATTTGATAAATTTCCGAAGTACCCTACGAAAATTTTGTTAGGAGATTTCAATGCCAAAGTAGGGAGGGAAGACATTTTCAAACCAACAATTGGGAATGAGAGTTTGCATGAAATTAGTAATGATAATGGAGTTAGAGTTGTAAACTTTGC